TTTTTTTTTATATGTTTTCCAACTAGAATAAGTGGTTCGAATGTAAAAAAAAAATAAATAAATAATCAATCCTGCTGAATTGAATTGCATGAATTTTTTTGGAAATTGTATCATGGTGTTGCCCGTTCGTTAAGCTAAATCTGTTGTGAGGATAAACTGGATGGATTACCAGTTGGACCTCCCTACGTAAACCCAATTGCGTTTTAAGGTTGACCCGACTTTCTAAAGATTTTTTAAGATCGGTGACCCGGTGGTTAATCCAGTGACTTGGTGACCTGAGAAGACTTGGTGACCTGAGAACTGTTTGGGTCGATTCTCGGATTGAGTTTAAAAATTATGCTTTTTAAACTTTATAACAAAGAAAGGTGTTAAACTTATTTGAGATGGATTTATTGAGATTTCAAAAGAAAAACCTAAAATCTTACTTCACATCTCACCTTAAGAGTTAAATATTTATAGGATTCTTTCTAAAATATGAAAATTTTAAAAATCTCAAAATGACACTCAAACTTAGGGTTAAGTTGGGTTTGGTAACCAAACCGAACCACTCGTTACCGATTTGGTTATGTCGGTAATGCCATATGCAAAAACCTAAACCGAGCCGAATTTGTTTCGTTTACATTTTGATTATTTTCAGCATTACCGAAAATTCAAATAAAAAACCAACAACCAAAAAAAAAAAAGTTAGTTGAAGTATTTTGCATGCTACCAAACTGACAACAAAGGATTTGGGAGTCTTGCAATACTTTCTTAGGGAGAACTAAAAATTAAGGGGTTAAAGCTGGTGAATGATGGTACCCTAATCCTTCCCCTCCTTTGTGCGTATGCCGACTATTTTGGACGACGTAGCTCTTGACGGCGAGCTACGTGCGTTGGGCCGTCGTGTGTGTCGATTATTAGCTGCTATGTGTTGTTCTTTCACCTTGGGGAGCGCCAAACAGAACACGAAGGTTGAGCTGCCAGGCTAGTGGCGACGACTGTTGCCTCATGATTCTTCTTCTAGGTTAGAGTAGATAATGAGCAGATTCGAGGTCACCCTTAGGGTTTCCGAAAAAAAAGGGCGACGGATGGCAGTTATGGTTATGTGGAGATGGAGATGGGTTCATGGTTGCATATTTTTGTAGGGTTATTTAATATTGGGCAAAGGGCATGTAGACATCAAATGTGACATATGTTTATTGTTGCTATTGAATTCGTAGGTATTCAACTCTAAACCTCTTGATCTGCTGGCATAGGTTTATTGTTGCTATTGTATTCGTGATTTGTGCATAATGAGATTCTCACCGATCCCAACACTTGGTTCAACATACGGGAGCGAACGGGGAGAACCGGTGGGAATCGCTTTTGTTGACTCGGTGAGTATGGGGACAACGTTAGGTGCGTAACCACTCGGACATTCAAAAGTGTTGGTCGCCAGTAGGAAAAGAGGCTGTTGTCCGGTGAAAATTTGTGCTGCCGGCCAGCGGCGGATACAGAAAATTTCGTTAGCCTAGGCAAAAAAAAAGTTTAGAAAATATTTCTCAGTATAACAATATGAAATTCTAGAAAGTAATGTTTTAATTTGTATATAATTCTTGTATGAGGTGGTCAAATCTTTAGGCATGTTGATTCGTCTTATTTCTAAAAAAATACTTATTTATGTTATGAAATATCATAATTTTATTTATATTGTTGTTTAAACTATGACATTTTAATTTAATAACTTGCATATATAAAAAAATATTGAAACAAGTATAATTGTGTAACTGTTAGGCCTGATTGAAAACAACTTTATTATACATACGCTAAGCCTCCAAAAGGTCTCAACTGAAATTTTTGAGACTGCCCATTAAAAGCAAGATGGGCTTGTAAGAAGAACAAGAATATCAAAAATTCAAATTTTATACTAAAAAATTAATGATCTTGCAATTTATTAGAATTTCAGTATTTGGTTCAATTATTGATAAATTATAGTGAGTTTTTATGGATTTATTTATTTATTTATTTTGTGTATGATTATAGGGAGACTTCTTTAAAAATCTCCAATCCTTTTTATAAATGTATGTTATATGTATGTGTATGTAATATTTAAAATCAAAAGTTAGATAATAGTATATCACATTTTATAAATTTTATCATTAGTAAAAATGAACGATAAACTATTAACTTACATATTAGTTTTTATATCGATTGCAGTTATATAATTTTTGCAATACTTTTCGGGAGACTTCTTTAAAAATCCCCAATCCTTTTTCAAACTTCCATGTCAGTCCCTCCATAAAAAAAAATCCACTGCACTCCCTACCTCTCAAATCATTATTCCACTTAAGTCCCTCTCTTTAAAATAAATTAAAAATAAATGAAGTTATGACATCACCTCACTAATACTTAACATTATACATTATTTTATTGGTTTCTTATACCTACCATACATAATAATATACTATTTTTATCAATCTTCTTCCCCAAAGAAACCTCCCATGTCTCCCTCCCGTCACCTTCTCCTACAATATTTTCTTTTTATTTTTTATCTTTCTTTTTTGTTTGCAGGTTCGACCTCTGGCGACTAGGGGTGGGATTTTATACTCGAGAACCGAACCGGACCAAACCGAAAATAACCGGTTCGGTCCCATTATTTAAAAAAAAAATCGATTTTTGCTTATCTTTTACATGTTTTGGTTCCGGTTCCGATTTCTTTCCAAGTGTATGCGTATTAACCGATTATATATATGAAAACATGCATGTGTTTATACGTTTATATGTATGAATCGGTTTCGGTTCTTGCACTTAATATTCAGTTCTTCATTTTTGCTTTCGGTTCTCGATTTTTCACAATATTTTTAGTCCGTGAGTTGCATTTTTTTGACATGTTCTTAACTCAAAACCGGTTATTTTCAGTTATTTTTTATTATTCAGTTACCCGAATAACCAGAAAAATCGAATTGTTATAAACCGGTTCTGTTCTTTTTCGATTCCTGCAATTATTTATGTGTTAACCAAACCCGTTTTTTGGTTTCGGTTCTGGTTCCAGTTCCAGAAAAAAATGATAAAAATTGGACCGCTCTCAGGCCTACCGGCGACATCAAATCCGGCGGAGAAGAACTTTGGCGACAACAAATTCGGTAAAAGAAGTGATCCGGACGTGAATTTTCTCCGGCGAAAAATTGGTATTCTTCCGGCAACATTTGGCCTTTTTCCGGCCAAAATTTGAAGTAGTGAGTAACCTATATATTATATGAGAATTTTAGAGTCCAAATCGTCTTTCATTCATATATTTTTGGTTAATTTGTTAAGGATTTAACTTTAAAAATTGTTGTTTATATTTACACTGAAACACATAAAGTGATCATAATCTCTTTTTTGTTGTTCATATATACCAAATTGATGCTATTTGTAGGTTATGTTAGGTATTATTCACCTTAAAACAAAAATATAAGATGGGAATGATTATTGTACTAATATTCTAGCGGCAGGATAGTAGAGAAGGCGGTCTTGAGGGTCTGGACCTGGGTTTGAGTCCCCATTTGTGCTCATTCCACCATTTTTTTTTGGCACTCATACTAAATTTAATTAGTACCTGTTTTATCTAACGTAGTACCGCATCTTGTTCTACGTGGTACCTGTTTTTAAACGATTAGTACTTATTTTTAATTACTATAAGTGCAAAAAAAACAGGTGGGAAGGATCGTGCAGAGAGGACTCAACCGAGTCTGGGTGAGTCCACACTCTCAAAGCCACCTCCTCTACCATCCTACCGCAAACTTAATTCTTGTACCTTTGGCTCGAAATTTATAAAGTAATACCTAACCTCCTTGGCTTATAAAAATTAAATTGTATTTCTTGACTTAATAAATTATATTAATTGGAATATTTACCAATTTAATTAAAAACTTAGACTTAGGATTAATTTTAGAATTAACATTTTGTACTTGGAATTTCACCAATTTAACTTGGTGCTTAAAATATTAAATTTAAGTACTTGGATTGAATTCATGAGACTTAGAATAATTTACTTGCTATTTCTTGGGACTAAAGTCGAACAATCTCATAGATGAATAAAATCGTGGCGCTACATAATCCATTTTAGTTGAGTCAACGAAAGTAGGTACCAATTGAATTAAAATCAGTACTACAAAGAAACAAATGTGGTACTATTATAGGTAAAACTGGTACTGTTTTAGGTACTACAAAGAAGCAAACTGGTGCTATTATAGGTAAAATCTATGTTATGTGTTCATTACAAGTGGTACTAAAGATCCAATATCAGGTACTACAATAATATAAAATTGGTACCATCTTACTCGATGTTTGGTACTACTTTGTGTAAATATTGACAAAAGTTAAAATAATTTTTTTTTGTTCACAAAAGTAAGTACTAATCGATAAAAAAGAGGTACCGTGTTACAGAAGATGCGGTACTATTTTGGCTTAAACATATACAATTCTAAGAATCGTGGTTTCTAATCCTTCATGTCTACCATGACATGCGGATCGTTCACGCATGATTTGGATAAAAAATAGTAGAAGTTAAAATATATAGGTAAAATTTGGAGTAGTCATGTATGACGATTCTATTAGATGAAGTGTGTCATTCAATGAAATGAAGTGTATTAGTAGTGTTTTCTCATTAGTGTGTCGAATTCATGACCATTTTACGATTAAACTTAATTAAAAATATTTTAAATCTCATATAAACTAATGTGAGAGTCATAATGGGTCATATAAACATCATTTGAGACCACAATTCGGTGTTTTTTTATGTTCGTCGGAGTTGGTACTAAAGACCCGATATCTGGTACTAAAACACCAAAAGCTGGTTCTATCTAACTCTTGGATGGGTACCAATTTTTGCAAATGTTGACCAAAATTGAAATAATCCATTTTCGTTGACCAAAAGTAGGTACTAACTGATTAAAAATAGGTACTACGCAGTAGAAGAAGCGGTACTACTTCT